TTAGCCTGGTGCCTCTTATAGACCTGCATCAAATAGGCACACCTGTCATACCCACACACCTTCATATAGACAGTTGGCATGCAGATAGACAGTTGTTAGCCATTAAGTGGCTTGACGAATACCTTGGCTGGGCCATTTCAAATGGTCGACCTTTCGGTGGTTCTACTAATAAGCACAAACTGTGGAATTTTGGGAAAACCTGTAATGGTGTAGAAGGGCGATGTGCTTATACAATGTTTAGTATATATAGTAATAAGTTTATTTAAAACGAACGTCTTTATGATGAACCTGAAATACGAGTATGCGTATCAGTTAACAAGCTATAGATATTTCAAGTGAAGTACACAAAGTTATATTTAAAAGGCAAAAAGGAACTTTTTTCCATTACCATTACATCCGCCTAACCCCTAATGGTGCCTAATTACCAAAGAGTCTCAGCAAACCGCATGCTATTATTCTTTTCTGCTTGTGTGTAGAGGCAGAAGTATTTCGCAGGTTGGCTCTATCACAGCACAAAAATGAGCCGTACTTTAAAGGCAAAAATTTATAGCCGCCTTTTTTCATTTAATGACAGCATTTGATTATGAAGCCAAGAACACTTACACTTCCATTTTGACGGCGCTTAATGTCCATCAAGCTAACGATAAACCCGTGGTTTTTATTCTACTATAATAATATGTACACAATAATTATTCCCCGGATGGATTACGATGTGGACTTAGCGCAGTGGAAGAAAATGGAAAACGAACAAGCGTAAAAAACTGTTCAACTGTGTAGTGAACGCTGAACGTTGAACTCCCCAACTGTGTCCGCAGCCACGCCCGGTCGTGGCCTCTGAGACGCAGTCGAGCACATCAAAGTGGACATGAAACAATGGAATGTGGGGGTTTGGTTGCTTGGCTCCCGAGTTGCTTGGCTAATGGGCAGGAGATTGTGTGAATGTTCAGTGTGCCATGCTCTAACCATAGGTAAATAATTGGGTGTAAATAGGCTACCTTATACAATCTTTGGACCACTTCGTGGTTACTTAATCGCCGTCTTATGCGATTTTACATTGTAGACCGAAGGATTTGTGGATTATCCTTTCAGTCTTTTGTTTGGTTTGAAAATTGAATAGCAACTTTTTACCCACAAGTTGACATGAATACCATTGATATATGAACAAGGTTTATAAAATTCCTCAATGTTTGAAACTTAATTTAAGTTTTTTTTTTTTTAAATGAATTGATTAGTTTTGTGCAAAATTTTGTAATTATTTATCAATATACATTCTCGTCAAAACAGATGCAGTTGACGCACACATTTTGTATTCCTTTAAATAACTTAAGATTGATGGGAATTATATAAATTAAATAAACAATAAAGTGTCTTATTAGTGCCTTTGATTAAGCTTCATTCAGTCATTGTTTAAAGTCGTGTTTCTGAAATTAGATCGATTTTGGTAATAACATCAGCTCTGATACACTCGATATATAGAATTTTTTCACCATCTCTGGGGCGCTGTTGCTAACGTCCAGTCAATGCACACTTCAGTGCAATATCTTTTAATTTCCTGTCCGATGTGAGAAATAAATGTAGCATACTTTTTTGGTGTCTTGTACTTGGCAGACCGTATTCTTTTCCCATTGATTTTTTTTGTGATTTGTGCCGCTGTTGCCATTCATTTCAAACTAATAATTTTGGTGTGCTGCTGGCAAACCGGAAATTGAGCTTATACAATTGCAATTGCATAAGAGCAGGCGCCCGAGCAAGCTATAAGGTTATATCCGGTGCGTGCAAGACCCACTGCCCATCAAAATTGCTTGAAAATGTAACGAAAAATGTCAAAGTCGTTGCAGCTGAGTGTACAAGTATGCAGCTGACCGACTGTCAAAAGTGCTGGAACAATGGCTCGCAATTTGCAGAAATTCTAAAGAAAAACGTAATGGCTGGGAATTGACAAAGTCGCTGCTGGGATTGGGTTTGAGATTGGGCTGAAACAACTGTCAACAGCAATAAAAGTCAATTGTCATTGCACTTGCAAACATCGTCGACTTCGGAGTCATCGTTGCTTTTTTTCTGCTTTTGTCTGAAACAATCCTTTTTATTCGGACCTGCACTTTGCGTCCTTTCGTTTGCCATTTACATGAAAATGTTGGCTGCAAGTCTCTAGGTATGCTCAAATTTTTCGGCACTCTGCTTGACTGTGCCAAACCTGCAGGCTGTCACTTAACATTTTTTCAAACTTTTAAACGTTTGTACCCCTATGCATGACAGGTAGTCACAGATATGTATATGTCCTAAAATATGAGTGCGAGCTTCTAAAAAATTAAGCTTAGGTCAGACAGGTAGCATGTTTGTCTTATTTTTGTCTTGTATGGTAATTTTTTTTGGAACCATCAGTCAATTGTAGCATTTCTATCTAGAGAAAAATATAAAAGAACACGGCATAGGACGCATGGCAGCCAAATTGCATTTGAAAGGATGTTGAATGCAGCAGGTGTATAATACGATGATGTAAACAAACAAAATGTTTGATAAATTTATGTGTTTAGCAAACGTATGATACTAAAATCTGAACTAGACTTAAAAAAGTCGTGCAGAAATCAAAATTCTCTTCATGAAACGGAAATGAAAACAAATGAAAAATTATTTCTACCTATGCGCAAATGCATTATTGTTATTGCTGTTTCTGTTGGTGTTGCTGTTGTGTTATGCTCTGGCTATTCCTTTCTCTACTTTCTCTCTCTTAACTGTATTGCCTGCCATGTGCACCAAATGCTTGCAGCAAATAAATTGCATTTGTGCTTTAAGCATCGTCAACATGGCAGCTGTTGCTGCTGCTTCCCAGAGAGTGTGTGCGTGTGTGTTTATGAAAAATACACGACAAGGTAAGCCTGATTAATGTTAGTCGGCAAAAGTGGGCGAAACGAAGAAGGAAAAACCGTTTAGCATACACGACTGCAACTCAAGCTGGCCAGACTCACATATTATGCCGTGTGATGCATGCCTGTGTGTAAGTGGTGGTGTGTGGCTACCATTTTGGCATGTGCTCGGTTTGATTCCATTTTGGGTAGGTCTGGGGCCTGTTGCCAGATTTGTATTGATAGCCTTATTGGCCAACAATGGCGCATTAATGGCTTGCTTTTATTTGCATTGTTTGACCTGTCGGAAAAACGAAAACCGCAGCTGCTTAAGAATATTTGATATTGCACAAAATTGTCAGCACCTGCCACATACCAAACACAAAAGCTTTCAATTTTTGGACGGTCTTTCCCTTACTGTGGCCCTCTCCTCCTCTTTCCGTCGCTGCGGCTTGTTTGAGCACTTGTAGAACGCTCACATTACACATTACTTTCATTAAAATAAGAGAAGCTAACCAAACTGAACCTAAAAGGTATTTTGTTAAAATAATCATCCACCTTAATTGAATCAAGTTACGGGCGTTTCTGCATTGCGCAATTGCTCAAAAGTGGGAAAAGGAAAGGTCGAGGGGGCAAGGCGGACGAACGAGCAGCCAGTGGGGCGTATAACTTATAGGCCAAAGCAACGGGGCATAATAAACGGTAAAGAAAAGGCCACAAGAAACGTTGACAACGATACAACAACTACAGCATCAGATACAAGTACAAAAACGTCAGAGGAACAACAAAATTGAAAAAAGGAGTGAAAACGCCCGCTCGGTACCAACAAAAACAAAAGAGGAGAAATAAATTGAAGTGAAAACAAATATCCCGACTGGGGTGGCTGGTCTGGGCTGGGCTGGGCGGCGCTGTGCTGTGCTATGGCACAGTGGGTCGAACTACGAGTAGTCCATCAGAAACAAGAGCCGAACAACAGCAACAACTTGTCTACCTTATTTATAAATTAACAGTTACAATTTTTCCCGGCGGACATACACTTAAAAATTTTTGTGCATAAAACTTTTATATTTTCTTTGGCGTTTTCCGGCAGGAAGCTGGCATCGCCTTTTTGTGCGTTCAACGGCCATCGGCCTCGCAGTCGCCATCGTCGCTGTAGCGCTTAAGCAAATAATTTCTTTTCTTAGACAGGCGTCCTTTTGGCTTTTATGCTTGGGTTGCTTCAGCACCACCGCCCTATCGTCCCTCTTTTTGTCACAGACCCTGCGTCCTCAGCTGCTTGGGCGTGCGTAACGCGTTCAGCAGCTGCAGTTGCTCGCCCTCGCAAGACGTTGTCCTGTCCTTGCCACTGTCGTCTTTGGCATCTTTTGCGCTGTCCCTGTTGTGCGTTTTGTTTTTAGTTCCTGCCGCTTGTTTGGCCTGCACTTGTTACAAGCGCCGCACACACTTTGGGGAATTTACCTACCACTTTGTGAGTTTCTTGAGTAGTGTGCCCAGCGACATGTTGAATATTCAATGTGCATTGAACAATGCGGTTGTGGTTTGGGATTGTCGCTAGTGATACTTGTACGAGCACGCCAAGGTTATACTTATAAGCTTAGAACTGACAGTTTTCTTGTTCTAAAATTATCACTAACTGCAATCATCTTTCAGTGCAACTGTTAATTAATTTCAAAATTAATTTGTTGTTAATTTTGGGATAGTAAAAACTACTGTATTATTCGTTGATAACTATTAAGAACTAGAATTAAGGTGAGGTAGAATTAAACACCAAAAATTATCTAAGATTATTAACTGAAATTATCTTTCACTGCCATTAACACTTGATTCCGAAATTCATTTGTTGTTTGACAGTTTGATATTTTATCTAGCTCGTTGAGCTATGCCAGTTAGCCTTCATTTTGTGATAGTATTTCTCTCCTATCTTAGATGTAGTATTAAGGCATAATCAGTCTACTGCGATAACACATACAATAGGTGTATGTTTATGACTAAGCTTTCTACAAGCATTATCAAGTAGTAAAAAGCTTTTAGTCTTTCTATTAGAATCATCTATAGACATATAAGCGTGAGTAGGCACCCTACAAGCATTAGAATCTATTAATCTGTTTAACATGCTCGTAGTTTGTTTTTAAAACTCAAAGTAACACGTTGGCTAAAATGAAATCGCTCGTTGTTTATTTGTTGACGCTGATTTCGTTGTTAAGTCATGTGCAAAGCGCCAAGATCCTGGCTACTTTTCCATTTCCCGGTCGTTCGCAGTATATATTTGCCGAGTCGTATCTTAAAGCGTTGGCAGCAAGGGGACATGAGGTGACAGTCATCAATACATTGCCAAATAAGTCGACACCGAATATGCGTTTTATTAGTGCGCCCAAGATACACGAGTATTTTGATGGTGAGTACAGGTAGAATGTTGGCAATGACAAGAAAATCGAAAATGCTTGAAAACCTGTCTCTGAATGTCTATGTCTCTTTCTTTCTACAGAAATGATGAAAGAGATAAGTGCGCCCACATTGTGGCAACAGCTGAATGGGTATAATCGGATACTGACTAAAGTCACTGAATGTACGATGAATGATTTGGGCGTTCAGAAGTTATTGCAATCTGGAGAGACATTCGACTTGGTCATAGCGGAGACAGTGCAAACAGAGGCTTTGTTTGGTTTGGCGCAGCATTTCAATGCAACTTTGATAGGCTTGTCCTCTTACGGTAAGGAAACGCTATTGGATACCACTAAAGTAATGAGGGGTCATCACAATCTTTAAATCTGTACAAGGCACCGATTGGGAAATTGATAAGCTAATGGGAAACACGTCGCCGTTGTCCTACAATCCTCCGGTGACGTCATCACGCACACAACACATGAACTTTTACGAACGCCTACAGAATCTCTATGAATTCATTCTGACGGAGGTGCATTGGGTGCTGGTCCACTTACCGGTAATGCAACGCTTGTATGACAAATACTTTCCAAATGCCAAGCAGACTATGGCCGAAGTGCTGGGCAGCTTTAAGCTGATGCTGCTCGGTCAACACTTTACACTCAGTCACTCACGGCCGTATGTGCCCAACATGATTGAAGTCGGAGGACTCCACATTTCACACAAGCCGGCTCCGTTACCTGAGCAGATAAAACAGTTCATTGAAGCAGCGCCTCATGGTGTCATTTACTTTTCCATGGGCTCGAATGTCAAGAGCAAGGATTTGCCGCAGGAAACGCGTGAGATGTTGTTGAAAGTGTTTGGGAGGCTGAAGCAACGTGTGCTCTGGAAATTTGAGGATAACCAGCTGCCTGGCAAGCCAGACAATGTGTTCATTAGCAAATGGTTTCCACAACCCGACATTTTGGCGCATCCACAGGTCAAGCTCTTTATCACCCACGGCGGCCTGTTAAGCACAATTGAAAGCGTGTATTTTGGCAAACCGGTGCTGGGCTTGCCCGTTTTCTACGATCAATTCATGAACGTGGAGCGTGCCAGGCGCATGGGTTTTGGACTAGGGTTGAGCCTTATTAATATGGAAGAGAAACAGTTTGAGGAAGCCATTCAAACGTTGCTCAATACTGCTAGTTTTGCTCAGGCTTCGGCACTGATATCGGAGCGCTATCGCGATCAGCCGGAGACATCTCTCGAACGCGCCATTTGGTGGACAGAATACGTAATTCGGCATAAGGGAGCATCACACATGCGTGTTGCCGCAATGGACTTGAATTTCATCCAGATACACAGCCTTGATACCTTGGGAGTATTAATTGGTATTCCAGTCTTGTTTTTGCTGCTTATTGGATATCTATCTTGTACAATGATGCGACGCGGAACTGGTTTTAAAACGAAACGACTTCTCGCGAAACAAAAGAAGAATTAGATAATGACATCATGAATAAATTTTAATTTGTGTAGTTGTATTATTGTGAGCTTTTAAAAAGCTTTTCTGTTGTTTTTGCTTAGGTATACCTCATATGCTATCATAGTAGTATCATACATATAGTTTGCCTTTAGATGTCTGATAACAAAATATCGTTGGTAAAATAAATGAAGTATTAACTACTTTACCTCTCTATACTGATACATGGCCACATTTTTAGGTAAGTTACAAACAATTTAGTTCTTATTCTTATCAATATACAACTTACGGTAGAAGCCCATTACGACTAAAATCTTCTTAGTACATTGCTGTATTGTATGCACATGATTTAGTATGATCAAGCAAAAGCAAATTAAGTTGAAAGAAACGGTATTTTTTGAAAAAATCCTTGGGCAATAACCAAACACAGAAGCTAACGATATTAAAAGTATCCCCTTATTTTTAATTTTAGATTAAACTGCAAATAGAAAGCACGCTATCGAGCAGGTATCATTGCGATTTTATTTGTGAACCCATTTGCTGACGACCATAAAAGCCGGACCAAGCGTGCTCCGCTAAACCACTACACTCAACATCAGATTGGCCAACTGTTGGAGCGATCTACATTGCAACTGCACGTGTGCTTATTAATATCAAAATAATCGGAAAAAAGAAGCAAAACGGACACCTTTTCGTGATAAGTACAGTGATGAAAGGAAAACAACTATCAAGGACAAAACAATTGTGAAATTATTTAGTTAGGCTTATCGGATCGGAGCGAACTGTCTTAGTTAATGTACAAAATTCAAAAGTCGGAAACCTATTATGTTGGACATTAATCCAAATTGTCGAAAAATAATGCTGAAGGGACGACGTATGTTAGAATTTTCTCGTGCATATGTGTGCATACCCCAATGGCATTGATACCACGCCCAAAAATGCAACCAATGTGACCAAAGTCAACTGGCACCAACGACAACGACAACAGAAACGCACAACTTTGGCCAAAGTACACAAAAATTACCGAGTTAAAAAACTTTATCTTAATTGCAGGCACTTTTTGTGCAGGCGGCAACTTTTTCGGGTTGCCGTTACCATTGCCGATGCCTTTGCCACTGAACAACGTGCATGTGAGCCACAATACGCAAATGTGTGTCGTTGTTCATGCCGCTTCTGCTGCCAGGATAGGACAGACCAGGACACACCCTAAATCACTGGCTTTTTATCAACTTCAACTTGAAACGAAATTCAAATGTTTCGTTCGTTTTCCCTAGCTTAGTCGGGCCGACGACGGCTGGCGAGCAGAATGACGATGAGTACGAGAGCGACTGGAAATCTGTGGGTCGGCCTCGGCCTTCGGCCCTCTTCCCTCGTCGGTCCTCCCTTGACTGTTGTCCCTAACAACCGGTGAAGTCCAAAAAACTGGCCACTTTGCACTAAGTACTCACACAAAATTCCGTTTGAAGTTTGTGCAGGTGTGGCACACACGCACACACATACACATATATATACACACACACACACACGCAACTCTTTTTTCTACTATTCCGCTCCATGCATTTGTAGCTGTGTGAGTGTGTGTGTGTACCGCTTGTAAATTGTATCCGTTTCAGGCACATAAATTGTTGTCAACTTCCGTTGGCTGCGACATCGTCGCCGGCACTGACCACTTCTGCAGCACGTTAAATGTGTCCAGCGCGCTTTGACTTAAAAGTGGTACCGTCCCGCACCACTCTGAACCACAGCAGAGCACCACATGCTACACGGCTGCCGTTTGTCTTTTTTTTTTTTGTGTGTGCTACCTTTCGGGTGCGCTCTCAGGCCAACTTTTGTTGCCTTTGCTTGGGTTGTTGCGTTCGCTTTGGCTTTTTCTCTTTCTGTGCCTGCTGTTCTTTGTGTTTTTTTACCTTCCTTTGGTGCTACTCAATGCACAGGTTCCAACTCCAACGTAATTGAATTTTTAATCTCGTTTATAGTCAAGTGATCTCTGGCATACTCGTGTACAACTGCGCATATTTTACGTGCCTTGGACGGCGAGGTTTTTGTTCAGTCCGCTACCCGTCGACTGAGTTTTACACAAATACTTATATATACGAGTATGTTTATATATATAGGCCAGCACATGCATAGTCACACTTATACACTGCGCAAATAAAGTTGTATCCATGGCCTGCTGATAATGAGGTAGTCGTTATGCTAAATAGTTTGGCTGCAACTTTTGGGCAGCAAAATTGCATATTACACTTTGGACTGTAAGTTGCCTCCGTTGGTTAGGCAAGCGTGAGCAAGCGTAATGAAATATCGTAATTCATATATGGCACACGAAATAAGTAGGTATGATAAATGTGGGTACCTACTCGTTTATGCAAATGGGGTCTGAGTGGTCTGGGGTTGACCAAAGAAAAAAGGCGAGGTAAGCTTGAAAGTAGCACTGCATTTCAAACATAAAGTAAACAAAGGGAATTTTAATTATGCAACATATAAGTAAGAATTAAATTAGGTTATGCAATTATTATATTATAACCCATTAGTTTGATAAGTAGGAAAGTGTTGGGAACTTAATGTAATCGGCTCACACTATTTACAAACTGAGAAGTCATTTAAAGTATTTTGAGTGCTTTAAGAATTCGTTCATTTGAGGTATGATAGAAATGGTTATGTGATTAGGAGATCTGCACAGTTTTGGCTTATCGTGCCCAGCTTGGGCTTGTACAGTCAACTTAGTTTAATTATGGACCCCAGATTATAAACGTAATTATTTCCGCTTTGTAAAATTACAAATTTATTTCCCACGCCGCTCCTCCATTAACCCAAACCAAAACTTAAACCAATTTGAACCAATCAAGTCTGGCATGTCGAGGCGTGCATCATTAGGCCAAAATTGTTTGGTTGCTTGCTTCACGCGCTTGCCACGTTTAATTAAGACTTAATTGGAAGCAGCGCATTGCACACTTTCGGCTCTGACACAGTTTTATTTTCACGGCTATCGCTGTCGCTGTCGTCGTTGCCGTTGCTATGCACCCTGCAGATGAAAAATACTTGTGAAAATTCCTATCCTTGTATATATATGTTCTATATGTAGGTGTTATTGGCATGGCTGAGCTCAAAAATACTAGCATATTGATCTAGAATTTATTAAATATTAAGGCATGCACTAGATGGAGAGTCAAATCTAGACAGCCAGTCTTTGCCTCTGTCTAAGTCCGGGCGAGCAAACGCACACAGATAGTCAAAGTTTAATATCGATGGCAGGGGCTTAACTCGAACTGACCTACTGTTTGATTTTCATTAAAACCACTCAGCTGGTATGCTTATCTTAATTATGAGATTTCGGCATAATATTTACATTTGAAGAGCCACTGCCTGCTGCACAATACTGGGCTGTCTCAGCTGCCTCAGCTGTGTGTTGCTGTGTGTGAATGTTTAAGTATGCGAGTGCTTAGCTATGTGTCTGCTTGAATATGTTCGAGACGCTGTCTATCAATCGGCCTGTTTGCCTATGTTTTCGTATGTGCTTCATCTTTGGTCAGTGCAAATGTTTGTGGCTTTTGCCCGACTCCAGCAGTGCGTATACGTAATGTGTGACTGGCAGAAGGCAAATTATGCCGAACCACAATGGGTAGTCAGGGCAGTTCAAGTATTCAGGCCACTTTCTGGCTGCTGATGTTCTAAATTTTTTAGCTGCAATAATTATTCGGCAATTAGCAAAATGTTCAATAATGCAGCTTCTGTTCCATAGCAGCTGCCGTTACACTTTTTGACTGCACTCGGTAAACTTCTAATTGCCATTAGCGCACTTTACTTTTGGGTAGGTGTTTGGTGTTTCGTGTTGAAGCTTTGGGGGCCAGGTGAGCCCGGCCCAACGCCGTCTGTTGCTTTTGGCGCGTAATTACGCCACGGCACGCCGTTAGCTGCTGGGCGGTGTCTGTAATTTAGTACTAATGGCGCACTTAAAGTGCAGGCAATTATTTTATGTAGACCTACTACGAGTATGTATGTATGTATATGCAAAGGTGTGCTCTCGCAATTCGCGCTCGAGTAGTTTTAATAACGGGTGTCGGCCCCATAGCCCGTATTGTGTGATGGCTGAGCGCCTTGATTGGATGGCTCTTGGGGGGTGTGCATTTCCACCTGCTAGAAGTGCCTGAAAGATATAATATTGCAAACGAATATCTCCTAATGCCGACTACTTAAAATTTAAAACCAATTCCCTTAATCCTACCATAGCTTATGTTATGTACCAAGGCTATATAATACATGCTGTACAAAATATGAAGATCAAATGCACGGTGCACATGAAAAAATCGAAAATAAAATCTTTTTGTTTTGTCGCATTCTTTTTTCGTAAATCCCCCAACTGTCAGTCACATAAATCTTATTGAGCAAAAGTTTCAAATACTAACACTTGCCGCAGCAAACATACTCGTACATAGACACAACCAGTCTGCCATTTGCACATCTATGTATGTACATGTATGTGCATGTCTGTGTAGACCCAACAATCAGTCCATAACTGCGCTTTTATGTGCCGGTTCACTGGAGACTAATGCCGTGTGCTATCAAAAATATGCAAAAATCAACTGCACATGTGCGAGTGGGTCCTGCTGCTTTTGGCCCTGGCCGCGTTCGGCTATCAAACTACGGAAAACAATATGCGCTGCCCAATTCTTTTTTTTACCGCTGCACTTACACCGAATAGTTTTTTCCTCAAAAAGGTAGCACAAAAATATAGTTTGACAAGTTTGGCTGGAAGAGCGGCAGGAGCAGGAAAAATAAGGGCGACTAACGGAAAAAACAACAGCAATGACAGAAACAACAAAGTGATGTGAATGTCTTGATTTGCATAAGCTCAGTGCGCCAGCTTGGCAATATTTTTTTGTCTCCCTTTTATGACAGCGACAATCGATAGTTAGATAGCTGTGGCAACTACGCGTCGTTTGGGGAACTATCAATCAAAATTTCATATGGCAAACAGGCCCGCCAAACAGAAAAAATGGCGAAATACAACAACAACAACATTCACATTCTGTATATGGTGTTTGGATTTATGCACATTGCTTAATTAAAATTCATGCACGAGCCTTGCTTGGTCTAGGCAAGGCATTTAAAAACGCCATTTAGGCTGTCACCAAGGATTAATAAAAAAGAAAAAAGGAATAAGGATAAGAAGAGATACACTTTTAACAAATTTATTTTTACATACATACATTTTACATACATTGCCATTTTTTATTATAAACTTGCACGTTTGAAACTTGCGCAAAGTTTGGTGCACTCAATATATTTTGTTGTCTAGCTCTTGGTGTTTCTCTTGATGTTGCTGCTGCTCATATTGTTGTCGTTTTTTTTTTTGCTTTTGCTGTTCGATTTTTTGTATTGCTGGCGCTCACCCAAAGCACTCATAAATCAAAAAATTTCTGTTGTTTGCTTACAGACGCCGACGACACAAGCATTTGTATGTACGCGTGTGTGTATGTATGTGTGCGATGTGTGTATAAATCACAAAGCATGTCCTTTGCCAATACAAACACAATTGAGCGCATGCATATGCAGCAACACAGACTGCGTAAAAAAAGTAGTTAAAGAAATTGCGTTAAAAAATTTGATTAAAAAGTTTGTCGCCGACATTGTGTGAAGTGACAGCAGCTGCTCATGTATGTATATGTACATTCAACTCTCATACATACACAATCACAAACTCATACACACACCCTAATGCTAACTCACAATTCAACTGTCATTGGCCATTGTGCCTATCGCTTTATAGATTTGCTCCACTGCGGTTCTCGTTATAAATCTTTCAAAAACCACACAAAACGAACTGGAATTCAATTTTACATTGACATTTGAGACAAGGCCGTCAAATACTGCTGATGCTGGTGCTAATGCTGTCCAACACAGTCTAGACTACAACAAACATGCGGCGCTCGTGACTGCAGTAATACAAAATCAAATTTTGTGTTTGGCTCTGTGATCATAATTAGTGCCGTCCTGTCAATGGCAAATGTTTTTGTTTCCGTTTTAAAATTTATGTGGGCTCTAATTGCCGTTTGGCAAACCTTCTCCCCATCCTTCTAAAACTTTGGATCTCAAGTTTTATTTGTCAGCATATTTGGCATTGTGGCTGCCACACCTGTCGTATGCGCAATGCTCGCAATTAAAAGTTTCTACTTTCGCAAACACATCCGTATTTGCTGTCAAATGTAATTGTCATTTTATAGAAATGTTGGAACACTGCGCACAGCAGCAGAAACGACAACAGCAGCTAGAAGAAAGAGCACTAGCAGCCGTATGCCAAAATGTCTCATTTGTGTCAGTTGTTTCGAATGTTTCGGTTCGAGATTGGGTCGCAGCATGCATTTCATTAGTTGGAAAGTTGACGCAAATTAGCATTGTTAGCGGAAGCTTGGAGTAAAACGTGTAGTTTGGTAACGTGATTCTTTTAATAAAAATCAGATTCAGCTTTTCTCAGCAAGTTCAAGGTTGCTAAAATATTACCATGTAAATCGAGGGAAGATCTTCTACTTTTTGCTATTTCACTTGTTTGCAATGGGGCAAGGCATTAGTTTTGTGCTGTGGCAAATGTGGTGCTAACAAGCATTTTCCTACTCGTATCCTACAAAGGAAATAGGTTTTCCGTTGCATTTGTTACAAAAAAAGCAGACACATACAGACGCATACACATATACAGAGTTGCAAGGACGCGCTCGACTGCTGAACGAACAAGGCGGTGGGCAAACAAAATGTAAAATGTGGCAAAAGGGAAAACTATGGAATTTCGTAGGCAGAAATCGCAGCGCCAAGAGCAGTGACTGCAAAAAATGCTAACAATGGAGACAAAGCTAAATGTCAGCCTAAAAGTATGCAATGCAATGCTTGCGTTTGTGTGGGTAAGGGAGTGCGTCCATTTGCAGATGTACCCTAGTTGAGCCGTGTTATAAGCTAAATACTATGACACACAAATACTCTTGTAGTCTTTGCATGAGTAACGTTTGTGCTTTGAAGTTCCATTAGCGAAGGGTGAGAGTTTTTGGCAACGTTGTAGATCGATTGAGATAAAGATTAAAAGAAGCTTTTGCGTATATGTGAGAATGAGGTGTGATAATGATGACAGCAGCATCTCTCTTTGTTGCAGACCAACTTCCATCGTATCTGCACTTGACATTTCTGCATACATTGCATGCGACTGACAATGCTGAGTGCTGGTATTGTTGCTGCTGTTTCTGATATTGAAATTGCATGATGAGTAAATATAAATATGCGAGCGTGTCAACAATTCTACAATTGAGCTTCAACTTTGCACACCCACATGCACATCCACACATGCAAATACAAACACTCAGACACACACACACACACACACACACACATCCACGCACACGTTCATGAGACCAACTGACATCTAGGCGAGTTTTTGGCCTTGTGTTTAATGCCTTTTATGTCCTTTATGCGTGTGTATACAAGTATGAATAAGTATGTGTGTAGTAATTGAAATCGCATCGAGACGTGAAATGAAACGTAAAGTCATCGAATCAATTGAAATGAAAATTAAATTAAATGCATGCGCTCATACATTTATTCATATGCCATACGACAGACATACTCTCTTATTCAGCAACCCATACAAATATACCCACATTCACATACAAATTCAATCTTAATTAAACACAGGCACGCATATTGAGTTCCTTGAAACGCAAAACCAGTCGATTGTGCGTGTATTTGTGTGCCTGTGCCTTTACCTTTTACGATTTTGCTTCTCTGTAGAACGTTTTTACATATTCGAACTTGCGCATATACTTATGTATGTATGTGTGTTTGGTGTGTGAAGCCAGCCGACGAGTAAATAAAGGTTCAATTAACATGCATTTTATTTATATAAACTTTTATTCAGGAACTCCTTAATGAGATCCAACAGAAAATGCTCAAGTTACTAACCAATAGCGGTTTAATTTATATGGATTGGAGAAAAAAGGGAAAGTACGAATATTGTTGCTGGATATTTGTGGTAAAAATCCTGCGGCTGCCATGAAGTGTTGTGAAATATTGTTCCCTGTTAGTTGAATGATTATGATATTTTAATACTTGTCGCCTTGTTTTTAATAAATGTATTTTATATGCATACATAAGTTTCTCCAGCAATGTGCTGTTTTTCATATCGATATACACATACACATATGTATATAGTATGTTTGCATGTAAGGGCTTAAGTGTGAGTGTTGAAAAGTTTTTAACATACTCAACTTTGCAGCTGTAAAGGCGTCAGCATTGGGCCAAAGTTGTGCGTAGACTTTTCCATAGCATGTGGCAAAGAGTGTTAAAGTTTTCCTTTTTATAATTTTTATTATTATTACCATGCCAATTTTGGGAAGTTTATTAAAATATGTGCATGTATGCACAAGAGCTGACCAGGCTTTCATTCAGTTTATTGATTTATACACATCTGCATGTACAGATAGATATGTAAGAATTATTTACACATAACGATTGATTGATGAAAGCGCCTTTGATGAATGGTTGGAAAAAAGTGGAGATGAAAAATGAACGTTCAATTTAAATGAGTTGGTAGTGCTTGGTTATATGAGGATCGTGTATCCATTTATATGCATATTCAACATCGGAAATCCCATAAAATAATAAAAAATTCGACGTCAAATAAAGTAAAGTATTGGGAACCTGCAAATATCCAAAGTTTAAATATATATGTATAAGTATTGCCTATCACCCTCATCTGCCATCGGCCATCTGCCGGTTGCCGTCTCCTTTTTCTTTCTTCCTCACACCGTCATTAAAATGCACAAACGGTAAAGCAAATAAAAGACTGTGAAGCACTCAAAAATAAAAACCACAGAAGCGCAACTGAAATGAATTTTATGAAATTGAAATGATTTCAAATGAGTGGCGAAAGCATCATTGTCTGTCACTGTGTTGGCTTGTTTGTGTGTGTGTATTCGTGAGTGTGTGGCACTCCTACATTAAACCACTTTGTGTGTATATACTTAAGCAAATGAATGAGCAAGCCTTAAAATCAAATTTTGTATTCTCGTTCGCTCTTGCCGCCACATTATAATGCATAATAATAAAAAGGCCGCCAGTTTGAAATGCTTTTAAACGCGCTCCCACTTTCTTATTTAATGCAGCTTTTGTACGACCAAGTAAAGCGAAAACGCACATAAGTGGAAATCTAATAAAGCCTTAGAGTTATGCGAAAGCAAATTGTCAATGTGACTTAGTTTCATGGCAGGGTTGGGGTTGTGAGCTATAAAATCAAATAAGCTCAGCCAATCGTCGCATAAATTTGTGACATATGTATGTACTACATATGTATGCATGCACGTATAGATATGCTATATAAATATATATCTACGCTAGGCAGCCACTGTGCGAGGGCACAGGAGATGTCGCAACATGTTTAAGTTGGTCAACAAACAGAACATGTCTGTGCATGTGCTATGGCATAACGTTCAACTAGAAGCAGGTAATGCCATTATAAGGCAATCGCATTTGCAATATATGTGCGCTGGTCCAACAAACATTTCATAAGCCACTACTTCTATATATATATATGTATACATAGTACTACACATACATATGTATGCGTATGCAGACTTTCAGAAAAACCAAACTAATTTTCCACTTTGCAGCACAATTTAAGCTGGCCAGCTTGAAAAGATTTCGTATTAAAGCGCTTGTTGAAAATGCAAACCTGTATGAAATATTTTTTCGATTCTTATATTTTGGCCTTTTGCAAGTTTCACAATTTCAATGACCATTTATTTTGGCTTTTTATCATCATCAGGTAAGTCCACCAAAATCTTTTCCTGTTTCTTTTTGGAACTCTCGGCATATTTCTTCTGTTTCTTTTCATCAGACACATCAATTTCAGTCTTTTTTTCCTTGGGCTTATCACCAACTATTGCATTTTTTATTTTCCTTATCACCCTAATGAACCAGTTTGGCTGCTCTTCCTCCACCTCTTCCTCCACCTCCTCCACCTCCCGTTCTACTGTCAACATTGCCAAAGCTGCAGCCACTGCCAATATCACCGCAATAGCCACATAGCCAGAAGCGTAAATTTCGGGCTTGGAGAGCAACACATTTAGGTGCCATATTAAGTGGCGCGACCCAGCAACGAAATGATAAACAAATGGCAAAACTATGAGAAATTTTAAAACATTGAATAAAGTTTGCCCGATTTCCAAGCCCTCGATCATCTTGGCCCAGTCATCAATGTCCCGTTCTCCCAACAATCCCGTCAATCCGAATGTCCAGATGCCCACCGTCAGCACCGCTCCACTAATACGCAACAGAATGGACATTGCTGAAGTTAGCTGTACCTTATAGATGGATAGGTGCGGTGACAGAACGCGCTTCAGTCGGAGGTTGCGCTCTTCATAGCTCATGTTGAGTGGGCACGAGGCAGGTATGATTTTCATGGTGATCTTTGGGCCCCTACCCTTGTTGCATTTTCCTTTAGCCATGTCATCACTGTACGCCATCCTAGGCGGCCAGGCAGGAGAAGTTGGCCAGAGAGTAATACGTTGATTGCAGACTGCATATTGCTGCAGATCGCAGTTCCCCTGTATCCTCAACCGGCGAAAAAAGTCTCGTCGTATAACGTGTCTAAAGGTGAAGAAACACTATATAATGGGAGAAGGCAGAAAGCGTATTGTCTGTAAAATAGTTCTGCACTTACGTAGCATACATTTGTTAGAGTGAACTCGTAATTTATTTAAATGTTACTCTGGAATATAGAAATGTCAACTAGCTTGTATACTGATTGATGTGGCAACAAAAAACTACTGAGGCTATAAAGCAAATTCATTTTTTAATTAAAAATTTAAGATGAAAACCAATTACCGGTGTAACAAGATTTAATAACCACTTGTGCTGGCAGCGGGGTGCGAAAAAATGGGTTAAAATTACATAAATTTTGCAGAAAATATGATGCAGGCAAAAAAAAAAAATGAAGGGGTGTGGTGTGGACGGGAACGGGACAGACATCGCTAAAGAAACGCCACAAAGTGAAATGTATGGAGTATGAAATTTTGCGGCAACGCACAACAGCATACACCCATATATATTCATACATACATACATACATGTCAATGTCAGCGTGAACAACAACAACAATAATAACAGCAGCAGAACCCGCTGCTATATACATACACAGGCACATACATAGTCAGTTGTTGTAGTTGCTGGCCATGGATGATGGTGATGGTGCTGGTGATGCTGCGATGTTTCCTGCAGTCAAGCGACTGATTTAAAATGTTACCGTTATTTATACACGTAGCCCAGGCAATGTACAGACGTACATACACACAACAGTATGTGTGTGCATGAATATGTATATATAGTACCAGTGGGTACTGTACATACATGTACATATATAAACAGCGGGAGCAACGCAATATATAGTACTACATGCTATGTATACTTGGCAGGTGTACAAGTATTGGGGTAAATGCGCTCGTGTGTGGACATTTTTCATCGTTTGCTGTGAATGCTGCCGCTGCTGTTGCTGGTGTTGTTGCTGCTGCTGTTACTGCTGCTACTAGCACAGCTACAACTACTGCAGGTCGACGGCAAGTGACTGACTCTGACTTAAGCAACAGCAACAAGAATAATACTAACAGCAACACCTTATTGGACAAGCGAGACGAAGGACTTCATCTCCCAACCGACTCCAAAAGCGGCGGGCTGTCAAAAGAGATTTTTTCAAATTAACTTTTCATATATTTATGTAAGAATGTTTAAATTTCAGCTTCTTCTCAGTTTGTCAGTTTGGATGCTGATCACATACCACGTACTCGTATGCAGAGCGAACATGTAGTACAGTGGTCGCTCGGATTGGAATTTGCATCAAAGCAACTGAAGACAAAACTACAAAAATTTCACAGCACCAAAATAAAGTAATGTAATTAAAAATGTAATGAAATTCTTAAACGTCACAAAGTGGTCCATTCAATAATGTTTAAATGTCAACAAAATTTGTAGAATGGATTACAGTTTAGAGATGATAAGAAGAATTAAATCAGTGATGCAGTTGTCGTTGAGGAAAAACTTTTTTTTTCTTTTCTGTTTAATCAAAGCATTGAAGCCGTGCACTCAGATAGCACCTTGACAATACATTTTTACAAATATAAAATAGCCCAACCTCGAGCACTCCCGCGCGAGGATTAATAAATTAGTGGTGGCTTATGCTTATCTAAATGTTTTGAAAAAACCTAATCGTTTCAGTTTTCGCAAAGGTCTAGCAGGAAGGAGTCCTCTTGCAAGCAAACTGCGGTGACTCAGAAGCCTGTCACTGTATCTACTTGAGGAAAAACAGCCAATTATTTGGTACGCAAAAAATACAACACTTTCGAATTCAGTTCTTTTGCTGCTCAGCTTTCCAGCTGACTTTCTAGTTTCTTTTGGAAATAATACAAGTAGAAATAACCCGTGAAGCAACGTTTTTTGTTTTCGAGCGATCACTTTAATATAGTATATACATATATACACATGCAAGTATAAATGTGTTCATATTCTTCAATTTGTTATATTTTCTGACGCCTTCTGGCGCTTGAATGAATGTGTCATAAACGTTTCAGTTGCAAAAAACAAACAAATAACAAAGCGTCAACAAAAAAAAAAAAAAAAAACAAAACAATGAACTTTTTATGCTTTACCAAGCACAGTGAAAATATGGAAAATTTAAAAAAATAACTATAACTGACGTTGGTGCGAAGAGTCAATGTTTGAATTCATAAATATATAAAGTACAAACAACAAAAAATTGTACTCTGCTATGAATGTTTCATTATTTGGTTGGACAAGGTTTAGCAAACAAATATGTGGTTACAAACCAACTTAAATAACTTCATACTCGTCTCGTGTCACTTTGACTTTGTCGCACTCAACTTTCGTGCTCAGAAGCCCCAGGATGGCTAGGATGGCTTTTCATTAAAAATGCTGCGGTACACAGGAGGGCTTTGCCATGCAGTTAACGGCTTGTTGTTGTTTTATTTGATAAACAGATTACGATATTAAGACTGCGTGCTTAAAAATTCGCACTGCTCCCCGCAGGCTTGTCAACTGCGGAGGAGAGTGCGTCACAACTTGTGAAATCAAAGCAAAAGCAATTCCCCGAAAAACTTCAAAATACGAGTACTGGTGTACCCGTATATCGCAAATATTTTAGGAAGCTTGTCAAAATGGAAGTACTCGTACATAAAAGCCACAAAGGAGGGGAAGAGAAATGCCAGTCAAAAACTTAACAAAAAGTTGGCATCTATACGTATTTTGTTTGAAATAAATTGGGCATGGCTACAAGTACATCAGGAAATGAAATGTTAGTGAACCGTGCAGGGTAAAATCAAATATCAGTTGCTGTCTATCTGCGTCTGTTGTTAATGATAATTTAACGATAGTATTATAAGTACAATGATTAAATTTTCCCCTGCTGACGCCTTATTTAATACCCCCATTTCTAGGAATTCATTACACTTTGCAAAAGAGAAACTTTTGTTGAAAACAAACTCAAAAGGTATTAAATATCTGACGAATAAGTAATGGCGCCCACTCACGAGAGCCGTGGAAATTATCTGCAATTAAATTGAGTGTACATGTTTTAAATTACTACGTTTGTAAAGAAAATGAAAATTTGGTTGTACCTCACCTTCTTTACACCTACACGCACACACCGACAGAAAGAGAAAGATAATCATGTAGAAGATTATTTGTCCGCCAGTTACAGGTCATTCGTTTAGATTTCAGTAATTATGTTCAGTCAAGTGACCATGAGTCCTAAAATGAGAAATCCATTAACATTATTAAGGAGCGTTGATTAGATATCTGTCTCCTTTTAATGCGCATCTCAGCTCACCTGAAACTACCTACAGAAGCCTGCAGTTGAGGTAGTTGGGGACACCTTGTTTAAATGGCTGGGGCCCGAACACTAACATTCCTACTTTTCATTAATTACTCTACGTCTGACAGTTACCCTCGCTGCTATTCCCACTGAAAGACACACTTTTTACCTTTTAATAGCCGCAGGCATTCAAGACTAAATAAATTACAAACATTGAGACCAAGAGAGACAATGACAGGCTCGGACGGTGACTAAGATGGGACGTAAGAGTGTTTTGATTGAACACTCGAATCTCAAGTTTTGACATTAATCTTTGATTAGAAAGCGGCCTGCCGCTCTTGAGGGCCCTACTTCTTGCCACCAACAATGAATGACTACGAGTGCGTGGGCTACCGCCATTTTCTTTTAGCGTCATTTTCGCTGACACTTCATTATGTAATTTTAATATGAATATTTGCCAAACGTTTTACCGCCAATAGAGCACCCCACCATTCCCCAGCCAGAGCCAGACATGCGCTACAACAATGCCCAGCGATTAAATCTCATTTTACCAAACGTTTGATCTTAATTAGTGTACTTGAATGTTGGCTCGTTCAATGTCGGCGTTTGTCGTTTGTCGTCGTCAGTCGCACTGGCTCTGGAAGCGGCAGCGGCGGTGGCTTTGCATCAGCAAAATAACAAAATGTCGCAAATCACAGTGTACCCCCTAACTGGGGGCCAAACGCCTGGGGGCTGGAGCCGGGTGCCTGTGGGACTCTCGAGGGTCTCTCACTTGATTGGCAGCTTGGCTTTTTGTTTAAGCGGATTTCATTGTACGCAGCGCATTCGCATATTAATTGAAGTTTACACAGCGGCAAAAAGCAGAATATTTCGTTGCCCCTGACTAATTAAAGAGCCCGGCGATCTCCGAGCATAATGTGCAATCATTTTGTGGCAGTGTAGAGTGTTGTAGTGTACTGCGCGTGTATGTCAGAGGTCGCGTCAAAATGTCAAACACGCGCACAACTTTTGTGTGGGCAAATATTTTTCAATTAAAATCGTTGCAGTTATTTGCCGCACACTCCAGTGGCACGCATAAAAATTTACGAGTAGTATCGTAGCTCTGACAGAGAGCCAGCTAAGACTGAATGCCAGCGATATAGTGGGTGTGGCAGCAATGAGCTGCAAAAACGATGTGGCCATTTATAGAGACATTGCCGCGATTTGATGACAAACGCCGATATACTGATTTTTTAAGTACCGCCTGGGTCAGAGAAGCGGATTTCAAATTTAATTAAAAATCTTTCAATTTTATGGCTTATTTTGAAGGTTACAAATGAATTAAGCTATCTATACATTTTTATAAAACCATTTGTCCCGACTCACTTCATTTTATGTAGTGTATTGGCACGTGAATTTGTAAATGACGGTGCGCAAACGACATTAATTGATAACTTTTCTCTTAAAAAAAATTGAATGATGATTCTTAATGAGAGGATCAGGACTAATCGTTAAGCTATGGGTGCTTAAGATCGGAAAGATATAGACAGATTTTCTTAATAAAAAAGAGCATTCTATATTAATGCCGGAAAATATTGAACAATTTTATTTACCGACTCTGTAATGTTAAACTTATATAAAATGTACTTCAATGAACTCAAAAAAGAAAGCAAGTTAGTAAAAATGCAGAATCTCCGATATCACTGGCAATTTTATACTTGAATTTTGACTGATTCGACTCTGGACTCATTTTTCATTGATTTGGGTTTAAAGTTGTGCAGAATAGTGGTGCGTGGGTTTAACATCTTCAAGTGTTGACTTTCGGACTCCGGCTAACAGAGAAACTTTGGATGTTTGAACTTGAAGGCAGAGCAGCAGGAGCACCACCAGCAGAAAGTACAAAG